AATATTATTAGTTTGTACATAAACATAATAATATGTAGTATCTATGTACTGTTTGATTTGAAGGGTCGAAATTAATTTTTTTCTTCTGAAATAATTGGTAGTAACAATATGCGGAATCTAAAATTATTGTTCGGAAAAATTAGCACGATAAACATTATTAAATTTAGAGAAATATTAATATCAATGGAGTAGTGTATTTTTTCATCCATATAAATATTATATAGTAAAAATATGTCAACACATTATTGCAATATTTAAAATGCTTGTAGTCATACTTAACAACTTAACTATTACAATATTGTAACTATACATGCTGTATGCTTCACTATTTTGAATTGGACACTTTATGGGTTGAGACTTCCGGTGTTATACGATATTATATATTGTGTTAATCAGTAAAATTAATGCACTATGATGATCGCAATATACAAAATATTTTGAACAGAGTAATAAATTATTAAGCTTGAGTAGTTTTTTTAACTTTCAGCTTAAGAAAAAAATTTCAATCTTGAAATTTAATTTCTCTTAAACACTTTTAAAGCTTAAAAAGTTATTTATATAACCTGCAGTATAAATTTAAATACTCAATTGACATTTCGAGACTTGATTACTTTATTATTTTAATTTATAATCAAAATAATACCGTAAATAATTTTTTCAAGAAGTTCCGTTCATTCTTTATTATAATTTTGAATGTTTTTTTTTTTTTTTTAGAATAACAGAATCTTGGAAATCTCGTACATTTAATTTTATTTTCTACCTAATTTTAACCAAATATCCATCAGTTGTACTTATTACATTTATAAAAAAACGTTTTTGAATAATTTCTTCAAGGTTCACAAGTTTATGCAGGTTTTCTATACAAATTCTGGGTGCTTGACAATTATGAAAACCTCTATAACATTTAAATGTATCTTACGTGTATGGTATACCCACTAACACTTAGTTTCTATTTCATACATCGATGTTCAGAAGAGCATTTAAAGTCGTTTTATTGCCCCCGAAAATTGTTGTACGAAAAAGATCACATGATCGCAAATAACCAGTAGAATAGCTTTTTCGTTTCCGTTGAGAATCTTAGAGTAATCTCATTAAATATTTTGTGTTTATTTGTACTTGTATAGCTACTATTATGATTAATTAAAAATAAATAAACAAATACAAGAATTAATATTTAATAAAGCATAATAATTATCGTATAATCATAATGTGTATACGTTAAATTGTTCAGACATGCCCTTTTAGTTATTCTTTGATTTGTTTATTAATTAATTTTTGTATAACCGATAGAGCTTACAAATTATAATTTATATTTTAATCTGGTTATATTATATTATAATTATTAATACTTTTGTTTCTTGATAATTATTCTATTTCTATGGCTTTAACCTTGTATATGAAAAATACTTTACCGGTTAAATATTAGGTACCTACCTACTGTATACAAATAGGAAGGTAAATTTTCAATTCATCCAAGTCGACCCTTAAAATAATACAAACAAATGGTAATAATAACAGTTTAAACTCGATTACAGTGTATACCGCTTGAGGCTTGAATATGTAGGTACCCTGAAACAGCTATTACATATCATTGCAATCATTATTTTCAACTAAAACGCAGTTCTGGAAAACCTATGAGGATATTTTCTAAACACATTTTGATCGATACCACAAAATAATATTGAAATATAAATGTGCACGAAAAAATAAAAATGAATAACCATGGTTATGCATGTTTGGAAAAATTATTAATTATTGACTCTATTATTGAAAATTATGATTTTTGAAATTATAGATATTAATTTTCACCATACTTTTAGCCTTTAAATAAAATTCAATTGCAGGTCGAGGAAATCGTACTTTTTCGTCGTTTCAAAACCATAATATTTCTGTTTAAATAATATTCGCTCATGACTTTTGCTACATGCGTGTGTGAAAAATGACGTAGTTATAGAAATATTAGGAAGTCTGTACCTATATAGACGCCGCCGCGGCCAGAGCAATTAACGCCCACCCCGTCGCGATCTCAAGAAAGTGTCCGCCACCTTATCGCCATTGTTCGACGCCTCGTCGTGACATTTTGGACGGAGAAAATGTCAATCGAACCGCGGCAAATGTCACTGCCTATTTTTTCATTTCATTTTGATGTCGGTCCCCCCCCCCCCGCCCCGGGGGGTTACCATTATTATATATTATAATTATTAAATTATTATCGTATCATACTATGCCTTACACGTTAATTGGTCATCGTTATTAATATTATAATAAATACGATTTCGGTTCTATCGAATTTCACTAAATCACTCCACTCGCGCATTGTTGTCGTGGTTATCCGTGTATAAATCCTGCGGGAGACGCGCACGAATAGGTCTGCATAGTTTATAATAATATTATTATTATTATTATTCCATTTTACGGGGGTCTGTGTGTCCTCTGTTTTTTTTTCCCGTACATATTTTTTGGGTGGAAGAAGTGAAGAGTTTGCGGAAAATAATAATAGGGGATACGGCCGCGGTATTCACGCAAACCACTATCTATTGTACTCGCGGGACTCTGGCGTGGGGGTACATATATAAATTCTAGCACGCCTAATTACCCGAGTGACCTACCATGTTGTGCTCCCCAAAAATTACTAAGATCTTTAATTTTAAAATGTTTGGTTCCCAAGTGTCATCGCGGAACACTACTTATATAATAATAATTTATAATATGGAAGACAAACTGCCACGGTAGGCACCTACCTAATATAAAGGATTGCGGACTTTTTTTTATGATGACAATTATTACAGTCATTCTCACTCTGTCCGAACGTGCATATTTCGTATCTTTGAATACCCGTAAGATGTGTGCTCAACAATAACTCATAACTGTGTAAATTTGTCCTAGAATTTTGTTTTAATATAATAAATCAAAAATATTATTTTTCTTAAGTCGGTGTAGGTACATAAATTAAAAGAGTATTTCACGTTAAAGAAAATAGTTTATTATGTAATGTTTTGAAGGTTTTCGTTGTTTACCCAGTGTTGTAATAGGCTATAGGCTGCTTTATAAGTAGTAACTATCCCTTAAAAATTGGAAAAAATATATACAAACATTTTGTTACAATACAAGACTTGCGTTATTTAATTTATATTGTTATTCGTCCCTTCCGTTTTTTGATAAGATATTAGATAATGAACCCAACGAAGTTCGTTTTAATTTATTTAAAGAACGTTTTGTACCTACCTACGTGAACCGAAAAATATTTTAAATTGAGTATAGCAGGTTAAAAGACGACAAGAATTCAATTATACAAAGTGGTCTTGAAATATCGAAAGCAATTTAAATTTTAAGACTAAAAGCAAATTTCAAAAATAAAAGGAATCATGCACGACTGTAATGTACCATGTACTACCATGTATAAAGTAGGTACATAGTTGGTGCTGTTGGTGGTATACATATGATATATCTATCTATAAAGTATACATATAACATACATGTGCTACCTGTATTTTAATTCTAGAAATTTCCATTTCCATTTTGAGCGTTTTTGACATCCGACGTGAAACAGATAAACGATAAATAACGTATTTTTTCTATAGTGATAAATAATAAATCGGTGATCAAATTTAATACTTGCCCTCGTGCACATCGCACGAACATGGTCCATACACACGAATACGCGGTATATTATATCCATAACCATTTACGACTTACGTAAGAGGTTTGGGTACTCTGTGTCTCGGTAGACAGTATAAAAATGTAAAACAAGGCGTAAGTACTACGTGTGTAAGTACCATATCGGCGCCGATATTTGCCAGAATTTTTTTCTCTTTCAGAGTCTGAAATAATTTTTCTCAGCACTATATGCTATAATAATAATTACCAATAACGCAATCGCGTACGGCGTACACAGTACAACAAACTGCACACAAACACTATAAACACAAGACATAAAATATAATAAGAGTGGCGCATATAATATGATAATACGAGTGCTAGTCAGCGGAGCGCAAACGTTAACTTCTTGAACGAAATCCCCGCTGTCGGTGTGCGAAGAGTTTATACGTAATTATGTTATACACAAAACTGCATATTATATAGAGTCTGTTGCTGCCGTGGTTGTGTCAATTATTGAAATCCAATACTAATTATTGTTTGTTATATACTTATATACCTGCTATATACGACTTGTGCGAGGAGTTTCGCGTGTAATATAATAATTATTTCACGCTTATAATGGCTGTTGAATGTTGATATACCCGGCGGCGCCACGCAGATATTTATACGTATGCGGTTTACACCGAAACGTGTATTTATACATAATACTTAATAGTTGTACCGTACAGGTACACATTTACACACTGTATATTATACATATTGATGTAAATGTGATTGTACACATTATATATGTGTGTGGCAGTATTTATAGAATGAACGTTTTGCACGCGAACGATTGCCCCGCAGACCGACTACATATTATTATAATATGTATACCTAGGTATACACATGGGTGGAGGCTTTGGGGACTTGGCTACTCCCAAATATTGAAAAAAGTATTGAATCCAAAATGTTTTACTGCCACGCTGAACAACGTCGATAGTGACATTTTTACAGTTGTATAAAGTGAAACGCTATCTGAACGGGTTCGATCTAACCGGCAAGTGAGTTAAATCATTAGTTGCACTGCATTATTATTATATTTTGCTCATTATATTTATTTTAATTAAACTTTGTTATGACGATTAATGACTATATAATGTTAAGTCTTCGCAATATATATTGTTCTACTGAAGTACCTATATAACTTGCAGTTTTGTAATTTGTAATAAGTATTGTAAATTGCTCAGAAAAGAACATTTTGTGGCTAGGGTTTTTTTTTTTTTCGAGGAAGCATAGGAGAATAGAGTAGTTGAAAAAGTCGCCGGTACTCAAGCCCCTCCCTCTCAATTTTTATTCGCTATTTACGTTTAAGCCTATAAGTGTTTACTATTACGATATCGGTGTTGTGTTGCACACAGGTGGCCTGGCTAAGAGTGGACACGCAGACGATACTGTCCATACAGACGCTCGTGGTGACGAAAAACGACCGTATGGAGGTGACGCACACAGACCACAGGGTGTGGAGGCTGCACATCAGAAACGTACGGCAGAGCGACCGTGGGTTTTACATGTGCCAGATAAACACTGACCCCATGAAGAATCAAATCGCGTATCTCGACGTAGTCGGTAAGATTAATCGAATACCGTTTCACGTTTATAAAACGTTTATTATTATTATTATTATTATATTATTCAAAACACATATTATACAAAGAATACAAATTACGATCCGAAAAAAAATGTGCAAGTCTATAATATTAACTATCATATAGTCATATCAAATTTGACATTTCCTGGCAACTCCGTCTCTATATGACGATGTAGTATACCTATATTATGATATGTACAGAAGACTACAAGTTGGATTGATTTTTAGGAACTGCAAAAATTACTCTGAGCACAGAAACCCGTGTTGTGGGACTTACACCTCCCAATCATACATTATGATTTACGTCCTATTTAAATTGGTACCCAGTAAACCATAAAAATATTATTTATGCATAAATTATATGACCTGTGAACCTACAATATTAATTTTAACAAATACCGTGCATTATTATTTCGAAGTGTATTATATATTTTGTGAATTATGAATAGTTATATTTATAACTAACAATTATTAACTATATTTGAATACTGCATAACATTACTGAGTTCAAATTTTGAGGTGGTGTGAATAAGAGCATAGGAAAAATTGTATGGAAATCGTTGTAGAAGTTACTGTAAGTACAGGTAAAAATCAAAAAATTCAAAACAATTAACAAATATTATGATGTTAAAAACTAATCTAAAATTGTATTATGGACGAAGATAATAATTATTATTGTCACGTTAATGAAAAGTGCGAAGGTTGAAATTTTCGTTATTTCATTATTACAAATTATTAAATCTTAAAAACCCATCCTGACATCATGTAAAACGTCACATCATTATATTACCATGGTTATGCATTTATAACTATAGAGTTCCACGACATCACTGAATATAATATTATGCGCACCATATGACACGTCATGTATAGTGTTTACTTAAGATTTTTCCATTTGAAACCAAAAGTCATTACAGGCACTTCCCATACAACCCAAAGGTAATTCCCAGGACCAATTATATGCGTTAATTATTCTTGATTTATTTTTCTGCACATCGTGATAGCAGGTGTTTTCCTACCTAGTTATTAACTGTTGAGTTTCGGATGTTGTTTATTATTAATACGCAATTCTAATTATACTGGTACCTATATTAACTGACCGCAATAAAAAAAACCAACGAATAAAATTCCATTTAATTTATTAACCTTCTCTAAGTAATGCGATTATGCATATTAACATAATATTAAAACGCATATATATATATATATACATAATACATGCGTATTAACAATATTATTAACTAAGTATAATATATTAAGTCTTTTGATGATCTGGTTGTATTGATAGGCATGCTATAATTAATATGTAATACAATTAGTTGTATAGCTATGATGGAATTACCCAACTTTTAAAGTTATTCTTATCAGCAAATAACTGCGATGATAAATCGTTTTACATTATATTTTGTTATGTCGATATACAATGTAGTCGGGAGAGTAGTAGTAGTAGTAGTAGTAGTAGTCAGGTCTTCAGATACAAATATTGCCTTTTTTTCTGAAATTCTCTGAAATATTTTTCAACAAAAGCTTAAAAATATAATACTATTGTTCATTATCATGAAAAATCGGTAGGTTTTTCTTCATAATTTATAGTTCACATATAGTTAACACATAGCACTATAGTAGCAAGTGGCAGCAACATACAAATTTGATATAGATAGTACAACTTACTTAGATATAAATACTGTTGGTAGTATATTATAATGTACGTAAAATATGAACAATACGTCTAACCGTAGATCCCACCACCCTAAGGCATCACTTGTTATAATCCGGGTCTCTAGCCTTTGCGACGATAAAACTAGTAAAAAAAAATGATATATTTATATATTCCTATCGTACTACTGACGAAGTAAATAATAGACGAATATTAGCAAAAAAAAAAGAAAACTGTCTTACAATATAATTCAGTATTTTAGTATAACATTTTGAAATAAAGTAAATTAAATATGTACAGTGTATACGTTTTATTATACAACCCAGAGGTGGTCTTTATAAATAAATAAAATTTCATAAACATGTAAGAGTAACTAAACATTTGAATTCGTGGGACTAGAGTTTCACTTAAAATATTTTTTTCATATACTAATGACCTTTTTATTTTTATTTTTAGGGCATTTTAAATATTTGAAAATGTCTATATTTTTTGTATAGGTTTTGTTTTGTTCCCCCTTTCTTCCACCCCAGACACAACTACATGAGTTATGTCTATGCCACTAAATGGTATCCCGCAATATGAACTTAGCCCGGAGGTACATAGGCCAACCAACGGATTAACAAGAACATATAAATAAATAACGGGTACACCGTATATAAAAATATCAAATTTAAAATGCTTATACAATCTAAATGAATATTCATAGTTACTATTCATGAAACTACATCTGATAATATTAACTCAAGTAAAACTTACTATGAAGCAAATTAAATTTTAATATTACACTATTGTATTTAGTATATGCACCGTTGCACCTAATATACTCTGTGTATTACAATAAATGGTGGGTTACTAATTACTATACTTACTACAACATAAAGTTTGGGAAACCCTGCCATGTCATTTAAAAATATACATATTTTTACAAATCTATTTTACTATTTTAGTGCCTCCAGATATTCTAGACTACCCAACAAGTTCAGACATGGTAGTACACGAAGGCAGTAACGTGACGTTACAATGTGCCGCTACAGGATACCCAAGTCCAACGATAACATGGCGAAGAGAAGACAACCATAACATCGTGATTTCTAACACGTTAACTGGTAAATAACTGGATTATTGCATAAACATTAGAAATGTAGGTACTTTGTGGTTATATGTAACTATAAGATTTCTACTCAAAAGTTTATTTATAAAAGTTAATAATTGGAATGTAGACATTTAGTTTAGTATGCAGTGCATGTACTTGAAAGTTCACGTGAAGTAAATAGCCGCATTAAAATGAAACAATTGTGATAGTGAAGTCAAATCATAAAACTTTAAACAAATTTAATTTGTGATTAAATATTTTTATAAATAATTATAATATGTATAATTAAACATTTATTAATAATTATTATTGATTAGGCTCTAGTTTATTATACGATATACCTACCTGGTTATCTTTACTGAAATACTACTTTTACTCTAATACACTTATTACTTGGTATAAGTAATGAGGTTATGACTACTGTTGTAACTTAAAAGTTGTAATTTAAAAAAAAACTGTACTATAATATGTTTCGATTTATTTTTTTTATGTGGTTTTACATTATGTTACAATGTATGCAATAATACAATCTCTTCATAAATCGTACATTTTTAATTTCAATACAACAAAAATCGCATGCGATCTATTGTTTTTTTTATACCTATCTACCGTAGGTCCGTAGGTACCTACAAAATAATATAGATAAAAGAATCCTAATTTACCAGTTAAGTTATAGTCACTATCGGTATTTAATATTAAATTATAACATGTTTTGTAATTTGTACAGTACCTATTATACGTACCTATTCTAAGGAAAAACATATCAGTATAATTCAAAAATAAATTTATTTAATAAATAAAACGAATATTGTCCACATATTATTTGCATATTTGTTTTGACTAATGGACAAATCAAAATTAAATCTATACCGAGTAATGTCACATTATTTCAAGTAATAAAATAATAGCCCTAAATCAATAATTTATTTTTATTGAAATGCTGTCAACAGTTAAACATCGGAAGAACGCAAATTAATTTTTCAATCAAAACTTTGAATTTTGTACAGCAATAAAATAGGGTAATATGAAACATCCATTATATTAGACATTAATACATTATACTGTAACGTCATTTAAATACAAACAATTCCCATTAATAAAAATACAATACATGCGTGGTACGTGAAATTAAAATAAATAGTTATATCATAAATATTTAAAAACAAGTAATAATTTTCAATGTATGCATCATATTATTATAGCTAGGTACCTATGTACTTTATGCAGTGACGCATTGCATATATACGTATCCTGATAATATTTAATATAATTTATTAATACAATTTGTTATTGATCTATCTCAGGGTTGCTATATTATGTGATATAGTTATTATAAATGATAACCCTATATTTCGCATATTATATTACATGGTACTCATTATATTATGTAGATAAGTGAAAAGAATCTTTTTTTTTTTTTAATTTTGTACCTACTCGTATAATTTATCAGTATAGGTACAATAATTGCAGCTATATATACAAATGTGAATAATGTAAATATTTAAGATTTAATATTTGAATATTATGTAGTCTGTTCCCGTGTAAAAACAACGATAATGCTGTACAACAACGGAGGCAGAACTACTTGTTAAATAATATAAATAATATGTGTCCATAAAACAATTAATTGACTTGTCAGACCTTGTCAGCAGACACTGCATACTAATTTTCCCAATTTTCTGTACAGTTGCAGTAGTGGATAGCTCCACTCTTACCTTTCACCGTGTGACAAGACAACACATGGGTTCATACCTTTGCATTGCTTCCAATGGGGTGCCACCTACAGTCAGCAAACGCATTACTCTGATCGTCCACTGTATGTCCTCGACATTCAAAAATAATCTATACATCGACCATAATATTTATTATATTGGTCCAACTCAATTAATTTGTACTTACAATTACTCGCGATATTTTTCAGTCGCTCCCATGGTTTGGATTCAAAATCAACTGGTCGGTGCTTTTGTGGGAGATCGATTGTCAATAGAATGACACGTCGAAGCATTCCCGAAGTCCATAAATTATTGGTCATCAGAAAACGGAAACTTACTGACTCAAGGTAGATATACCACAAATAATATAATACAATATAGTCATATAGGTAAGTTTTAAATCAATATTTTGTTAAACTAATTCCTTATTAAGGATCAAGTTTAGATTATTATAATGATTGCCAAACCAATAAAGTTCTTTCTAGAACCAACTAACGAATAATTGTTAGCAAAAAAAAAAATGGCATCTAAATTTGCATTAAATATGGTTTTGAACCATGGTATTATTTACATTATTTCATATTATTTGGATATTTTGTAAATGGTTATGATTGGCCTAAATATTTTTCACCGTTATCTTTAAGATTTTAAATGTCACAGATTATGATGCATATTAAATTACAAAAAAATTCTTTTTAAATAACATTTCCATGCAATAATGTTGTACCAATAGCTATATTACTATATAAGGTTGGTACTGATAAAAAAAATTAATAATTATAATAGGACATTAAGTTAGTTTTATTGACTTATAATATTTTAGTGCCTATTATGTTTAGTTATGTTAAACTGTTAGGTAGATATCTAGTTATAACCTCTGTCATACATTTGTACGTAGTTTTTAAAATTGTGAAATGCCGTATAAAAATTTAGGTAATCCATCCTAATTTTTGTAATTATGACTTTTTCTAATTTCAATATGTTGATTGATTCCCACCCACATAGATATGTATTTAAATTTCAAAATGTTCTATTGCAGGAGATAATTACGATACAACGTTAAAAGAAGTCAATTATAAAACAGAAATGAGATTAACCATTAATCAAGTAAAAGAAGAACATTTCGGCACTTACCATTGTGTTTCAAAAAACTCTTTGGGCGCAACCGATGGGACTATCAAAGTTTATAGTAAGAAACATACTAATTTTAAAACGAATATAATTCTAAATTATAGTACTTGTACATAAATGTTTTTTTTTAATAGAATTACCGGGAAAAAACTGGAACAATAATTATCAAAATTCAGTGACAGCTTCAAATAACGGACTGCAGCATATCACAGGTATAATAAGTACCTATTGAAGTAGATACCTACCTAGGTAATAAGGTTCATTCATAAGTACAATATTTACCAACCGTCTTCCATACAATCTTTCAATTAATAATAACATATTATGTTAAGTAGGATCCACAAGAGAATAACAAAATCCGATACTTTAACACCTTCGCAAACTTGAACTTTCAATACAGTATACCTATTACACTAAATACCTAAATAAATAATTACCTAACCTACCTAGTACCTACTGACTATTACTTTTAAGCCAATTTGGAGTCGTAAAAAACAAAAGTCTATATGGTTTAGACTGAAGGTGTTCTAAAATTCTAAATAATAAAATGTTCGAATAATTAAATAGCAACTGTGTATGCTAAACAAGCAGAATGGTTTATTTTTATATAATATAATATAATATTATGTATTCATTACATTATCTAAAAATTCTTTTGGACGTGTTTTAAACATTTTCCCAAATTTATATGAGTAGCAAAAAACTGTTTCATTGTTAGGAATTTTGAAAGTCAGAGTGCTTTAAAAATTTCAGTATGACGAGAAAATCAATGTTTATTTTTTCTTAAAGCCGTTGCGCTTTTAGTACAAAAACATGTCTTACAGGAAAAACTCTCAGGCCCCGTTGAACATTTTGCAGGTCATTCAAAAGCCTGATTTTCCAATAGTAATTATAGTAACTAAAATATGCATTTGAATAATGCACAGTATTCTAATAATGTTCCATTTCAAACATATTTTTGTAGCATTATTTAAAGTGAAAAGAAATTTCAAGCCTTGATCTGGCCCGTAAAAAGTTCTCATCTTTTAGATGAGAAAAATTATCAAAATTCGACATATTAATGAGGTGTGAGAGTTTTTCCTGTGATGTCATTTCCGTTGACGTAATACTCCTATCAACCCCCCCCCCCCACCACCACCCCCACCCACCTTATAAGTGTCGGGTAGTAGAATATTGGAAAAGTATCATAACTAAAGCAACTAAAATTTAAAACATAACTTTCAAATTTTATAGAATTGCGAAATATTGAAAAAACAGGCTCCGACACCCTGAAATCTCATATTTCTTAGTATTTTATACAGTTCGCCTAAGCCGAACCCTTTAAATATCGTTACTTATTTACGCCCTATTTTTTCACACATTTTAAGCCATGGTTTTATGTTTACAGGGTCCACGTCCAATAGAGAAGGCAAAAATAACTGTGTGCCTATCAATCCTGAGCCTGCCGTAATTTTTCATTGCATTGTCTTACTGATACTGTTATCCAAATCATCATAAGCGTTTATCAGAACGATATACGTTATTTTTCATGAAAAACAGGGTACCATGAGTATGTAAAGTTTGTATATTGTTTATGGTATAGTGTAATTAGCCGTCAATATTGTGTTGACCATACGCATAATAATTGTACATAAGGTAGATATAACAATAATGGTGTGACGGTATTAAAAATTGTCTACAGAGAATATCTTAAATATTTTTATTTGACAATATTAGAGGTTTACTATTATACGTATAATATAGGTACCTATCTGTTTGAGACGTATTTATACGAAAAAAAAAAAACAATTTTGTCATGTATGTAAATAAAGTGTCGAGTAAGTAGGTATTGAAATTATATAAACAATCGCAATAAGACTAGGTAACGTGATTTGTATTAACTTAAAATCGTTTTGTTTAAATATTGTTGTTTGCAAACAAAATGTATCTGTACTTCCAGCCTCGGTAGGTGTAAGATGTTCAAAATTATTTTTGGAATGGTGCCTGCGCTGTAATATTTAATGTTGTACTTAACAAATCACGAGTCTTGTGTATATTTTATTATTATGTATACAATTGTTTACCGTGTACCCATATAAGCTATATGTGTACCTACCTACCTACTTACCTAGATTGTTGTAAGAAATACATATTTTTTTAGTGGACTTAATCGTTACTAAATAATATAATATATCATTGCCATATTATTGCCGTATAATGTCATTATAGGTAAAATGTTCAACGTGCCGAAACGTTTCAACGAACTCCTGATAAAACTATACGTATTTATTTAATAATATTTACATTGTTATGTTTTTTATGTGTACAAAATAAGTCTTGAATCTTTTTTTTCTCTAATTTTATTGTTATATTTAAATATCATTAATGTCATTCATTTAGTTGGTGATTACTTATTAATTATTATACATAGTAGGTTTAGCACCATGGGTACCCGTGTAACCTACTGACCTATTGGTACTTTTAACACTGCTAATAAATATAAATTATAATATTTTATTCGAGCAAGAGTCAATGATTAAAACAAATATATAAGTTATTAATAGTCAGTAGGTATTTGTCATAAAATTAATAACATTGTAAAACACTATGCGTCCATATGAGTCTATACTCTATATGATACATATAATGTACCTGCATAACATCTTTATTATATATTATAATAATGACAAATTAAGTTCTTGAAAACACAACATTTCAATATTCTAATCAAACTTGTCGCGTATAGATAGATGTCTAGATTCGAGAGCGAATAATTATTACCCATTAGATACCTATACCAATTAATCTTTCGTATCGATTCTGTAGTATAATACATTATTATATTATACGATGAATACATCGACGAAAATAGTATTTAGTTCATTAAAATATAAATTCAAAAACTATAGGGTATGTGCCTACCCATAATATTAGGTATAGGTGACATCAAGTTGTAGATATAGGTAGGCATCTATTTCCCATAAAACCGTTTTAAACGTAATCATTTTTTTCGATTTTAGTGACGACACATTACTATTGTTACAGGAAATTAAACACACCAGTTCAGCGCCAGTTATTTTAATATACATGTATAGTAAATTAATCAATAATAATAGACCATTTGCAAAATATGTAGATGACTAAGTATTATGATAATTCTAGTCAAGCCTAAAACGAATACATTTTTCGAGCACGTTTATCTAAAAAATTTACAAAAACCTATATGAGAGATGGATTCTCCGCCCATGACCACTTTTGAGATTCTAAGTGGAGCGATGAATGTATTGAATTTAAATTGTACAATGAAGTGTGTTGTTTTCCGTCATCACCTTTTGGCGCAGTAATCAAAGGCTTCAATTTTCTACTTCGACAAATTTTCTGATAGGAAAGTGAATCTAGTTGGTATTTTGGAAGAGTCAGCAGTGAAAAAGAAGCTATCATAAGTCAGAAAATACAAAAAAACAAAAATTATGAAAAGCAAATATTTTTACTCAAACCCTAGTTTTCTAATATGTAACACTTTAAAAACATAACCGCACCGTAGATACTAATTCCTTATAAGTTATAGTATATTATTGGTCTTCGCTCAGAATCGTTCTTTGTATACATTGATTTTATATCATTAAATTCAAATTTAACACATCCGTTACAGCGTCCCTTATCTAGACATCTACTGTACAGCAGACCATTAACCACTTGCCCACCTTTTTTTTTGCGATATTAGGTTATTATTAGTGCGGAGACATTACTGCACTAACCTACGATTTATCTTAAAAACAATGAATATAATCCCCCCACGAAAATATACCTGTCAACGCAATTGGTGGAACGCATCATACACTTGTTTGATTAAAATTCGTATTTTATGTATATTATTATACCTACCTACTATTATATATATATATATATATATATATGTATAGGGACATTTTGACATTTTGTTAAAAGTGTTCTTGTACAGTTCAAAACAAAATAACAATACATTTCTTCAAATATTACCTAGGTATGTAATATTTTTTGAGTAAAATAAGTGCATCATTATATTATCTAGGTAGAAGTATCTCTTAAACTCGAAACGTCAAATGTTATAATGTAATGAAATAATATAATGTCTGTGTTCGAAATAAAAACGGGAACGCAGACGAGGACTGCCGCGGTCAGGTACCTCTCTGTACGTTTATCACAAGGGCGGAGGGTGCAAATGTTTAATGAAATTGTTATAACGTTATCCCCCCCCATTGAAAGTCTGCGCTCTTCATGTCACAAGTATGGGTACCTACGTAACCTACCAGTACATAATATATGGCTGCATAAACACAATTTACCTCACTTATATAGTCAACTTTGAATAAAAAAAAAAAATACGAAACAAAGAAAAATTGTGGGGTAGCCGGCAGGTATGTAGGTAATTACGGAGTTATTGTACCTACCTGCCATGAATACGAATGTTGCCCAACTTATCATTGCACATGCACGAAATTAATACAACTATACAGTCTTAAATCCATAGACAATTGGATAAATCCTTTGATGAGCAAAAAATTATCTTTTATTCATTTATTGCACTCGACATCAATTATCTTGTAAATAGATTAACCATTTAAAGGGCTGTGATACGATTCATTAGCAAAACATAGGTAGACAGTTAAAAATAATAATACCCTCAACAGTGCAGTTCGCATTAAGTAATATTATTAAATATTATAAGTACCTAGTCTTTAAAATGTATATTATTAATATGAATTTCAACTTTTACTCATCAAGCCAGTGCCGGGTTGATCCAATCCAAAACCGAACAGGAACAATTCTATATTAATATATTATATTATTGCAAAATTATCTGGACTGGACTAGTTGATTATAATATTAAGATCATGTGTTATTGAAATGACTGTCTCAGCAAGGCTCTAGCTCATTTGAAATATTATTATTTATTTAGGTAGGTATTATGTATTTTTTTTTAAAATATTTTTTATAACAACAATTATTACTTAATTTACTATTTAATCATAAACCCACAATCAATACAACAACTGTAATTTTAATTTTAATTAACTAATTTCCAACGTACAACTATTCCATTGCATTAGGTAATTGTTAATATACCTATAACCTATAAAGTATACATTTAAGAAAAATTGTTAACCAGTAAGCAAATGAAGATTTTAATATTTTTCTTCCCATCTGTAAAATAGTTTTTTAATGTTCTATACATAACTACATTTAGTATTAGTGGCATATTATTCCATGAATATTGTTATTAATTATTATTTATATTTATTATCATCAAATAACCTTGGTTGTAATGATGACACAATGTTATTTGTAATATATTTTGCAAATAATATAAATAGTACTAATTGCATAAAATTAATTTATAGAAATTTAAATTAACCTACCTATGTATTGTACATAATACTAGCTTTTTTGTACTTTGAATTGTTTATAGTACAAATAAATATCAGTTATTGATAGAAATGTTAATATTTCTAGCATGCGAGTTGTAGTACCTATTAATAATATAAGGATATTAAACTCATTGTTTTTTTAAAGATTCCTCTAAAAATATAACAACTGTAATTATTTCTCTCATCTCTTAATTGATGACGAAATACTCAGTACACCTCAATAATTAAATTTACAAATTATATCAGTTTGATGTATGAAAATACCACACAAATTCAGAACACAAGGTAGGTACAGAAAAATATGTATGTAATATATTATTATAATGATTACTCTTAAGTATTACATGTTTGCAAGAAGCGGTTTTCATACATTTAATATGACAACAAATAAACATAAAAATATACAAAAATATTAATAAAATTATTTAGCTGATCGATAAAGAAGCAAATTGTTCTCCGATGCTTATTAGTTGTTCAACACCGGTTTCGTTACATCCAGATGCTTGAGCAGTGTCAGCCTTGCCTCCACCTTTACCATTAATACATGATGCAATTTTGGTCACCCATTTATTTGCCATGAGCCCTTTTTTGTTTAATTCTTTAGAAACTACACATTGGCAATATATTCTTTTGCTTTCTATATCTTCAGATAGTAACATAATTGATATATTAGGCATGTCTGCCTTCAACAATTTCAATACTGCGTCCATTACTTTAGTATTAGAACCTACATCAAGCTTATAAATAAATATTGATTTGTCTGATTCTGAACATATCTTTGTCTTTAAGGATTTTGTTACTTCACTGGCTAGAGCTGCTAGTTGTTTTCGCTCCTCCTCAGCAATACCTTTTTTTAAGCCTGATAAAACACTTCTTAGCTCTTCTTTTACCCAATACGGTATTACAGACTTATTGATCTTATCTTGTGTATCGATTATAGCTTTAGATAAATTTGCATCCTTAGAATCTAGTTTCATCACGTCTTTTTTCAGTTCCTCACCTCTATTGTACGCTTTTGTTGCTTCTGGTCCAGTTACAGCAACTATTCTTCGTATTCCCTTAGATATTGCTTCCTCGGAGAGTATGGTAAAACATTCCATGTGTCCAGTTTTATGCAAATGAGTGCCTCCACAAAATTCTACAGAAGTTTCTAATCCTGAATTTCCTTCTGGATCTGTTAGAAGTTTGTCTACAGCAACTCCTACTGAAACTACCCGCACTGGATCCGGGTAAGTTTCATCAAACATAGCACGTAAGCCTTTTATACGTTTAGCATCGTTTAATGGTGCAATTTTAGCATATACAGTATCATTTCGTTTTATTACATCATTTGTAAGTTTTTCCACCTTAGCAACTTGATCTCCTGTTAAAGCAGCTTTGTTGTTGAAATCAAAACGTAACTTGTCTGGGGCGACCAAAGATCCTTTTTGATTTAAATTATCGCCCAAAACCACACGTAAAGTATGATTTAAAGTATGGGTGGCCGTATGATTATTCATTACAAATCGCCTTCTTTTTTCATCAATCTTTAAAACTACTTTGTCGCCCACTTTTAAGCTACCACTTTCGAGAATTCCAACATGCAAAATATAACCTCCACGTAATTGAACATTATTAACATAAAACTCTGTGAATTCGTCTTTGACCATAGATCCTTGATCATAAATTTGACCACCCTGTTCAGCATAAAAACATGTTTTATCCAGTATAATTCCACATTCTTGAAATGTATCTACTTCATTAACAAATTGATTTATCAATCTAATACTTAATACTGTTGAAGTACATGTTTCAAATGTATATTCTGCATCTGGGTTATCAGATACAGCTTTATAGTTATACTTAGGTGAATCGTCTGTTGTTGATATACCTTTTGTCTGTAAATCTGCAAGAGCATGAACATCCAAGGAGATTACCTCTTTATCACCACCAACCTTGTTCTGACTAATAAGTTGTGCTTTTTTTTTTGCTTCTTCGTATGCTTCCATGTCAATAGTAAATCCTTTTTCTTCAACCATTAAGTATGTAAGGTCTACAGGGAAGCCATAAGTATCATACAGTTTCCAAGCAACTTCACCAGGTATAACTTTGTCAGTTAATTTCAATATA